TTGGGTTAGTGAGATTGAGAATTTGTCGGCTTGCACTTGAGAGCTTTCTCTCAAGTGCATCATACAGGTGCTAACGTCTGCACCAACAGGCTGCACACGGCGTCTGCATCGAAGTTGACACACCCACACGCCGCAGCAGCGGTGCTGTCAGGCACGCCAAACACGCTTCCTTTGCATTTTCATCCACTTGAGCACCGCCCGCTTCGCATGCAAAAGCGGCGGTGGTTCGCAAGCGCGCGCGCAAGGCCCAAGGCGGGCACCTCTGATGCAGCGTGCGCCGACTTACCACACATGTAGGGGGCGCACACAGAGCACGCGTGATCCGAGAGATGTACTTTGAGTGATGTGACTGCGCCCGGAAGGCCTCCGGAGAAGGCGAGGCCCAGACCTTGCTTGCGAAGAAACCGCCTTTGACGAGTCGCGAGGGCTTCACATGACATTCAGACAGCTTATAAACTTGGATGTCAAAGATATAGACTAAATTCCGTCGTACCAAAGATAAATAAAATAATGTTGTTCGATTGTGTTTGGTGCGTTTTGCGCAAGAACACATTGCCTTCTCGTCTCCGCCTGGCGACGCAAGAGGCAGTCCGGAGTTAAGCACGTGTCTTGTGCACCTCTGAAAACTATCGTGAATTTTTGGCCGCCCAATTAACCGGCTTCTGCATGGGACCGAGGTGTCTCGGATTGTGACATCTACAGCCGGCGGTACTAATACGGTATTTGCAACCCTTGTGGCTGTGGTCTTTGCAGCGGCGGCTCACGTTGACGATCAGAAACATGCTTCGAAGATGCTTGGTGCAGTCATCAGCAGCGAGCGTGCCACCGCTTACTTGCCCGCCGCCAGACCATCAGCACCCCTGGTGGCTCATGACGCAATCCTTCGGTTGAGGCTCTACGCAAAAGCTTTTCTGCAACCTGGGAGTATGCGGGCACCCCAGAGTAAATCACATAAATACAGGATATTTGCGCACGATGACCTGGAACATTTCGGTACTGTACCGACCTGCCTGTTGATCAACAAAAATGCGTCTGGGGTCTGGCAGGCCAGCCAGGCGGGGAGAGGGGCAAGGCAGGGAGGGAACGTGATGGGTATCAAGAGCCACACCTGCCAGAAGCCACTGCGTAGTGTGTCACAGGCTGGTAAGCTTGAACAGAGCACCGGGTGCCTAGTTGCGATGGGCTGCATGGGTCTGGGACCCCGCTGTGCCGCATGAGCTGCCGCAATCAGGCGCTGGTCGGCTCACTGTCTTCGTGTACCGCCGCGAGTAGCTGTCATGCAGGTTTTTGTCAGCATTCACTGCACGCTCGCTCCTGGCACGATGACGGTACATTGCGGCCCTGTGTGCTTTTTACAGTACGGTAGCTCAGGCTTGCCACGAAAGTCTTCCATGTCCTCGGCCCTCTTTGCCCCTTTGCCAGCCAAAGTCTCCTGCAGCTGCCACCTTGTTGAGGCGACATCCTCTTCCCCAGCCCCGTGCAGCCAAATTTTATTGGAGCGTATGGCCCTGTAAGCACTGAAAATGACAGCCTGATATGTTACTTGCCACACGTAGGCACTGCATGGAGATCCCCATTGCAGCCTGACGCGACCTGAAAAACCTGCTGGGGATCATCAAGTGCGTGAGAATGGGCTTCCCGTTCAGCGAGGCCGCCGCATCCGCTGCCATGAAACAAGCGCAGGGACCAGACGCTGAGCCCCGCATCAGGCGCCCAGGCCCAGCACGGCCCGCAGGTGCTGCTGGCGCGCGAGCTCGTTGGGGAGGGCGGACCACTCGTAGTGCGGTATGGTCACGGGGTTCCAGCCGTGGGCCGCCAGCATCTGCGGACGCGGAAGCAGCAGCAGCAACCAGATGGGTCGCAATGGATGCACTTTAGGGGCCGGCCAGAGGCAGGGGCAAAATGACGCGGAACAAGGCTCGTTGCGGCAGGCAAGGTGCGCCCTCCGTCATCACAAGCACCCTCACAGGCATCGTTGGAGGGGCCTAGCGTCGCATGCGGAGAAATCGGCTGGCTGCTCCAGCCCAGGCTCTCAATGCAGGCCCAAAGTGGGGGTATGCGGCCCCAAATGGCACAGTTCACGCCCACCTGTATCCGCATGACCGTCTCCCCAAGCGGCTGCGGCTGCTGCTGCGGCGCCACAGTGTTGACGCAGAACGCCTCTGGCCCCAGCACCTCCAGGGCGATGCGCCTGTGGTGGCGAGGGTGATTAGGAGGAGGAGTGCGGGCCGTGAGGTCAGCCTGGGCCACGCAGTGCTTGGTGGTAGGAAGCAGCAAAGGGAGGGCTTGAGAGCAGCCACAATGCCAAAGGATTTAGGCCAGCAGACACTGCCAGACCCCAGCGCGGCCGAGGCGACCACAGTAGCCCCCCTACTCTGTTCCACCACCCACGGCCCGACATATTTCGAGGCCCGCGCACCTCTCGGGCAGCGCCAATCGCAGCGCAAAGAGGCCGTCGTCCGCCATGACGCCCGCCGCGTGCGGCACGCCCAGACCAGCGAGGCACCGCTGAACGTCCCGCTGCGCCTCGCCCGGCGGCAGCATGGCGGTGCTGCCCTGGTGGGAGCACCAGTGGCCGCGGGCGGCGACGATGAGCGCGGGGGGCGTCTCATACGCCGCGCAGGTCGGCTCCTTGCACACCATGAGGTGCACCTTTTTTGGGGGGGATGGAGGCGCAGGTGAGGGGGTGGGGTTGTGGGGGCAGGTGGGGTCGCTGGTGAGAGGCCTGCTGCGGCCTCACCCTTTGCCGCAGGTCGTGATGCAAGCTGCAAGATTGATATCAACACACTGAGGAAAGCCGTCGTTCACCAGCTGCCTGCATCACGCATACTCCGCAAAGCTTGAGTCACAGGATGTGCGTCTGACGATGGAGCCCTTGCCAACAGTACCCCGCGCCAACACACACAGAGACACCGACACAGACACACACGCACACACACACACACACACACACACACACACACACACACACACACGCACACCTGAAACAGCATCACCAGCGCCGCGGCCGGCACGCCGTTGCCCGGCGCCGCCGCCAGCGCCTCGCACGCCGCGTTCCACAGCGCCGGCGGCAGCGAGCGGAACAGCTGGTAGCCCCACAGCACGGACGCCACGTCAGCAGGATCCAGGTCCCCCAGCTGCGGCAGCAGCAGCGCCTGCAGCTGCGCCAGCAGCGCCGCGGGCGGCGCAAAGGCCAGGCCGGCGTAGGAGCGCACGACCGTCGCGGCCGCGCGCGCGGGCAGGGGGGGCTGCGCGCCGGCGGCGTCGGCTGATGAGATCTGGGCGCTGATCTGCTGAGCGGCGGCGTGAAGCAGGTCGATGCCGGGGTGGTACCTGATGTGTGGGGGGCGAGGTGGGCGGATCTGTGAGGAACTGCAGGTGTGTGCGGTTTGGCACCAAGACGTGCAAGCTGTGAGCTGTTGGGAATTTGCTGGAATCTTTGGGGGTTTGGGGGTTTCACAGCTCAGGGAGGCGGTATAGGGGTTAACCTGTCCAAATCAGGCACAGACACAGGGAAGCCGCACTTGAGACAGTTCGACGTCATGCCAATAGGTAGGTGGGTCAAGGCGCTCTGCTGGCACCTCACCTTGAGCCCATCTGCGCCCACTTTCCCGCCAACCCCAGCACCCACCTGCAGGCGGCGAAGACCTCCAGCAAATCCGCCAGCGCGCGGCTGCTGAAGCCCCCCACCCCCGCCAGCGCGCGCTCCGCCGCCGCGCGCAGCAGCGGGCCGCCCGCCAGCGCGCAGCCGAACGACCGCAGGGCCGACAGCAGCTGGGCCATGGAGTCTGGCGGGTAGGTGGCCAGGGCTGCAGTGGCGGACTGCATGATGGAGGTGAGCACCGACGCAGGCGGGGCGCAGCCAAACTGGGCAAAGGCCCAGAGGACCTGGCTGATGCGCTGGCCGGGCATGACGCCCAGGGACTGGGCAAACCTCTGCGTTTTGAGGGGTTGGGGCGCGGAGGGCGGTTGGTCGGCAGGCCGCCGCACGGCCACACGTCTTTGGGGGCAGTGGCAGTGGCTCCTGCTTTGAGCCACACTTTCTCACATTGACACCAGGCGTCAGCTGCAGCCCTGATGAACATGGGCGTGTACTTGCGCATGCCACCCTGGCAAGTGCATGACCGCGCGCCACCCCGCCCCACCTGCAGCACGCGCTGCAGCAGCGCCTCTGGCGGCCGGTACTCGCTCTTGGCGAAGCACCACATCAGCTCCGCCATGTCGCGCGCCCCCAGACCCTGGGGACCCGTGCGCGTGAGCGCGGCCGACGCGGCCTCGGCGGCGGCCGCCAGCAGGGGCGTGGCTGGGATGTACCCGACCTGCAGCGGTAACGTGCATGGTTGCAACAGCGGAGGTTTGGCCATCTTTCAGTGCTCCTCGGGCCTCCCCAGGGAGAATACTATTGGGGTTGCGTGATGGCGGTATGTCGACTTGGTAAAGCAAGAGGCTGAGCACAATTTCATGCACTTCTTCGCGACCGTGACCCTTGGACGCACGAGCCCTGCTTTGCCAAAGGCGTCGCCCCCCTTCCCCATGGCCCCACCTTGGCGAACCCGCTGAGTGTCGCGCTGATGTGCTCTGGGGTGGCGTCCGCCATCCTGTGGAGGCACTGTGTCGCCAGCAGGTCGAGCATGTGGACATCTGGCGGCAGCTCAAGCTGGATTTGGGTGGTGGGCAGGGCAGGAGGAGAGAGGTATGCATGGGGCCGGTGAGACGCGGGAGGGTTCGGGGAGGGGATGAGCCAAAGGTGGTGTGGCTAAGGATACGTGAGCGTTGTCGAGGCGCGCGTCTGAGTGACATTCAGGTGAAGCCGATCTAAACCAGAGGGTGTTGCGCGCGCAGCATATGCGGCGTGCGTTGGAGCTGGCATGCCGCGCCTGCCGCCGACTCAAACCACAGGTTGAAGTTTGCCTGCCCTTCACAAGGGGTATCACACTGCCTCGCTGTATAAGCGCACAACCATTGCTGCACGCCAGCCCGCCACTCGGCAGGCGCAGCATGTACGCAGCTGCAACTCAGCGGCCGTGCAGTGACCAGTCATGACATCACTCGACCTAGGCTTGCCCCAGCACCGGGGGCCCAGCCCGCGCACAACCAAATGCCTGGGCCACCAGCTTGCTGCGCTGCGCAGCAGCAGGGTGCACACTACCAGCGGTCTGCCTCACGCGGATGCCCCACCTGCGCTTGCTCGCCCTTGCTGCAAGACGCCCATTCACCCCAATTGAACGACGAGGGCTTGCCTCGCTGCGACCCATTCAGGCAACAGCAGCGCCCTAGCTGCAGCCCAAATCAGCACCCACCCTCCCAAAATCCTAACGAGCGTCCCCGCCCTCGCGCCGTTCGCCCCGACCCCAATCGACCGCCCAGGAACCACCACTGCTCGCCTGCGCCAGCGCCACCGAGACGTCTGCGGTCTCGCGCGGCCCAAACGACGGCGCGCGCGCGCGGCACGCGTCTAGTAGCTCGTTCACCGCCCCCAGGGACGCCGCCTCCACCGCTGCCCCGCCCGCCCGCAGCTCGCCCAGCCTCTTGACCGCCTGCGCCGCCGGCAGCGGGGACTGCGACGCAGCGGCGAGGGGCACGAGCGCGAGCACGTCGGCGGGCGCCGCGGCGGCCGCGACGCGGCGGCAGAGCTCGTGGTCCGCGGCAGCCTGCTGCTGGCGGGGCTGCGCCAGGTTGAGCTGGCGCCCCGGGGCCATCACACCCGTCAGAAGCTGCGGCGGCGGCGCGGCCGGCGCCGGCGGCGGCGCGGCGGGCGGGTTGTTTGTGGGCGGAGCGCCGTACATCGAGTGCATGGCGCCCCCTGGCGCGAGGGCCTGCAGGAGTGAGGCGATTGCCGAACCGCCGGACGCAAACCCTTGGCTGGCCGCTGGCGGCAGCTGCTGTTGCGTTGGCAGCTGCTGTTGCGTCGGCAGCTGCTGTTGAGGTGGCAGCTGCTGCTGCGTTGGCAGCTGCTGCTGCGGTGGCAGCTGCTGCTGCGGTGGCAGCTGCTGCTGCGGTGGCAGCTGCTGCTGCGGTGGCAGCTGCTGCTGCGGTGGCAGCTGCTGCTGACCGGATGCAGGCTGCTGCTGCTGCTGTTGCGGTGGGGCCGTCGGCCGCTGCTGCGGGGTCGACGGCTGCTGCTGCTGCTGCTGCTGCTGCTGTTGTGATGGCGGCAGGCGGGGCAAGATTTGGGCCTGCATCGTTGGGGGATACACCTGCATTCCCGGCAGCTGCTGCTGCGTGAACGCCATCACCCCACCCAACCCACCACCACCACCACCACCACCACCAGCACCGGCGCCACCCTGCTGCGCCTGCAGCGACGACGCGTTCTGTTGGGCCTGTGGCCGCACCTGCCACGCCCCCTGCTGCTGGCCCTGCCACGCGCCCTGCTGCGCGGCCACCAGCGGCTGCGGGCCAGCGCCGCCCGCCATGGATGAGACCACCGCAATCGTCTGCCGGGGGTCCCTCTGTTGCTGCGGCGCCACCTGCTGCGGCTGCTGCGGCGGCAGCTGGTGCTGCTGCTGCAGCGGCGCCGGCTGGCGCGCCCCATCGGGCACAGGGCCCGCATCGCCCCACCTTCCATTCCTGTTCGCGGCACCGCCACCAGGCCCGTCCCGGCCCCTGGCATCAAAGCGCCCCGGGCCTGAACCCCGCTGCTCGTCCCTCGACGGGGAACGCGGCCGCTTGGGCCCCCTGCCGTCCCGAGGATCCCCGCCTCGAGCCCACGGGTCCTCCCGACCGCGCGGCGCCCCCGCCCCCTGCCCGGGCCCCGCCCGTGGCCCCGGCCCCTGCGGTCCCGCGCCCTGCCACGCGCCCGCCCCCCCTCCCGCGCCGAAGCCACCCGCGGGCGGTGGCTGGAGTTGCTGCTGCGGCTGCTGATGGGGCGCCACCTGCACGGACTGCGGCGCAAAGGCCGGCGCCGGCTGCTGCTGCGGCATGGGGAGGCGCTGCTGCTGAGGGGGTGCCGCCTGCGGCCGCATCGGCGGCGCCAACCCCGGCTGCACGAGGCTGCCCACTTGGACCATTGCCGTGGGGGGTGCGCCGTACTGCCCCGCGCCCGGCCGCGGCTGCATCTGCAGCGGCTGCTGCGCCATCACCACCGGCTGCTGCTGCATCAGCTGCTGCTGCATAGCCGCCGCGGGCGCCCCAAACGCACCGCCCCCGGCCGGTGGCGGGCCTCCAAACGCGCCGCCCCCTGCCAGACCCGGCTGCACCTGCTGGCCAAACCCTGGGCCCCCCAAAGCCCCGCTCATTGGCCGCACGCCCACAGGCGCGGGCCCCGGCCCCACGCCTGGCGCGGGCGCATAGCCCCCGCTGAACCTTGAGGGGGGCTCCCCGCCGTTTGCCATGGGGCGGCCGGGAGGCTCGCGGCCCATGGGGGGCGGCCGGTCGCCATGCCGGCCGCGGTCAAGCCCCGGCCCGCCTGGAGGGCCTGCCCTCCTGTCGCCTTGTGGCGGACCCCCTCCTATAGATTGCAGCATTGCAAATGGGCAGCAGCAAGCTGTGCTCAGCGGCATGTTGAAGGTGCGGCCGTGCAGGAACGGCCATGCAGAAGTTGTTTGCGGTTCTGCATCCGAAATCAAGTCATGCTTGGCTTCAGCGGAACCACCCTTCGTCTGCAGGGCTGCGGTCCTGCAGCAAGGCCATTATTGACCAACAGGTAAACATAGCAATTCCCACCATTTTCATCAATATCAAGACCCAGTGCTGGATATTTTGCAACAAGACCTGGTGATGCGTGCGCGCAAACGTCATGCAGTTGGTCCTCAGCCGCCACAGACACCCGCTGGCAGCGACTCCTTATCCCTCAACTCGCTGACGGTGTTTGGGACAGCTCAGCTCGCAAAAGTGGCGAGAACGGAGAGCTCTAGTACCTTATTGTATGGGGAGCCCTCAGGCCATACCGACACGGTGATGAGGGCCCCACGCCCGTCCACGAAGACCTGTGCACAGGCCGCCCCATCCACTGCTGACGAATCATCCAGCAGTGTCAGGCTGCTTCTGCAACATTATGTAATTTGATGCCTATCTCGCAACAAAACACCCCATGTTGCTGCCTTGTTCACAGGGACAGCTTTCCGGGCGCTATTGGTACCCAGTACTAGGCCAAGTCAAGACACGACAAAGCTCACACTCTAGTCTTTCTGAATGTACTTTGAAATTTGCCATGGCCAGCGCCAGCGCCAGTGCAGTTGCCACAGCTGCCTTGCAGTTTGTGCACCTTCTGCTGCCAGACTCACGGTTCCATCAACCCCCGGCAGCCACCAATCCTCCCCAGCGCTGTGCCTGATTACGATGCGCTGACAACCAGTGCACCGCTGAGATGCATGCCCACGGCGAAGGGACCCATTCAGTCCTGTAAGGTTGGCCCGATCTGATACACATAAAAAAGCCTTGACCCAGACGCGCCTGCCCAGCCATCCTACAGGCCAAGGCTTTGGCCACAGTCGCCAGCACTGCGCTTTAGAAGTCCCACAGCTATACAGCTTCTGACGCGGCTCTAGTTCTAGGTTCAAGGAACATCGATGAGTGGCAATGTAAAGCAACGGCATGGAGTGCCACCAGGCCAAGCGCCCACAAATAATCAAGCCCCCGACGCCCACGCACCTGGTGGCATGCCGCGCGGTGATGAGCGGCCCCTAGCCCCGCCAGGTGCAGGCTTTGCTGTGCTGCAGCGGTTGCAGACGTCCCGCCAGCTGAAACAGGTGTTCCCGCAGCCGGGGCACAGCCAATCGCCAGGTCGCTGCTGAAGCGCCCCACTGCCTCTTCCGCCACCACCACCGCCGCCCCCACCTGCTTTGACGGGACAAAGAGGTGCATGCGTGCCGTCAGATTGCTTCATCACACCCCTGAGGCTCGTTGTAGCTGTGCTTGGAGTGCGGCAGGACTGGAGAGCCCACCTCTTCGCCGGTCCGCCATCCTTTCGGTCTATCCAGGACCTCTCCTGGTCTAGCCCTCTGATATACGCTGCGGTGATGCTTGGTCCACGTGAGGATCGAAAGCCAGATCAGGTCACACGGTGGGCTTCAAACGAGTGACCGTGGCATATTATGATATGTTCAGGTGATCGAAGGTTGTGTCGTCCTGCAGCATCAGTACATGGTTAAGAAACTGGAAGTGATACACATGCACAGGTGATCTACGGTGCATTTGCGCTTCTCGTCCTCATCTAGTCAGGCGAAATATACTGAGCTCGACGCACGAGTGTACCAGCGCAGCTAGCAGGGGTCGCCAGACTTGACAGACACACCAGCCGCAGCAGCGGCACGTGGCTGGGGAGGCTGAGCAGCAGTGGCGATGGAAGACGCGCCGGCCGCCCAGGGGCTCTCCAAGACGCCCGCCGACTTCCTTAAGTCGATCAAGGGAAAGCCGGTGATTGTCAAGCTCAACTCAGGCGTCGACTATCGTGGTGAGCCGTGCAAGAACTGACAGCCTTGCCGGTCTGCGGCGGCGATCAGCAATTTCTCGCTGCCTGCTGCCCCACCGCCAGTCAGACAGCATCGTGACTGCAATGCTTCCAATCGCAAACGTTGCAGGGGTGCTAGCATGCCTCGATGGCTACATGAACATCGCCATGGAGCAGACAGAGGTGCGGGCAGGCAGAGAGGAGCGACATCAGGGCAGCAGCAGCGCTGCAGGGACTCAGCCCCCAAACACAATGCGAGCCGCAGGGAACCAACGTACTTGGTGGATGCGGGGAAGCATCAATACTCCCGCGCGCATGTGTGGCTGGAGGGCCCGTGTGTGGCAGCATGTGATTAGGCAGCAGCTGCTGTGCGAGTGCAACATAAGTAACAAGTGCAGTGAAACAGGCGGCGGCCGCGGGAAGTACTGCCGCAACGGCAGGAGAATTGGATGCTGCGACGGCAGACGCCACTCTCAACCTTGCTTTATGCACTTGGTCTTGGCAGGAGTATGTCAACGGGCAGCTCAAGAACAAGTATGGTGACGCCTTCATACGCGGCAACAACGGTGAGGGTTCTCTTGTGTCTACGCGCGCACGCGCGCACGCGCATGTGTATGTTTGTGTGTATGTGCACGCATGCGTGCATGTTAGTGGGCGTTTGCTGTTTGCATGTTGGAAAACAGCCCGTCGCAAGGACGGGCTGTTTTCCCCATTTGTTTGCAAAATTTCCTGTCAAAAGCCATGCATGTGGGGCGATTCGTGCTGCACTAGGGTCTGAACAACAATCGGGACCCCTCCCATCCGCGTCACGCCCCAATCGCAACCCCAGTGTTGTATATCAGCACAGTCAAGCAATGACGTGCATTGAGCGGGGATCAGCGCAACCCTTGATTTTGAGCTGCCACCAGGGCCAGTTAGGCGCTGCAAGTGCATCCATGCAGCATGGGCATGATGTTTAATCGTGTGAATGTAACAGTGGTGATTGACTCAGGTTTTGACTGAGCCCTGTGCGGTTGTTGGGATCGGTGAGGTGTGACAATATTGACAGGTTGGTGTAGACCAGTTGCAACACACAGTTGTGAAGTACCTTGAGCATTTTTCAACAACAGTGTGCACATCAGAGCTGAAAGGCCATGATCGCATGATATGCGCGCACACCACACCCGTTTGCATGGCTCACTCGGCTGCCGGAGCTTGGGGGGTCCATCGCTGGTCTGGTGTCAGATCCAGCATGTTCAAAACCACGGATGGAAGGAAACAAACCTTGGGTACCATGAAACACACAAGATCAGCTTGCCGCACATGGGGGCGCCGGCCCAATCGTGTCGCAGGCTGGGCCGATCAAGAGTGTTGCAGTCAATGTTTTGCAGGCAAGCCTATGACAGATTACCCTTGCGTGTGTTATTCATCTGCCCGTCAACCTGCCACTCTCCAGGCAGTTGACTGTACCCGGTGCTTTTACCCACCATTGTGGAAAAAACTGTCACCATATACACACTGGCCATTCAGCCACTATTAGCGAACAAATAAATCACGCTGCAATTTTTAAGGCACACCTGTACAACGGTGCACGAACCACCAGTCGCCACCACAGTCAAACGACAGATCACGGCCGCACGCCAGGCCCACCGCAGGTCCCGGACCCACTGCCGCCGGCAAACATCCTGTCAAAGTCATGCAGCAGGGACGACACGTGGCTGAGGATGTCATCAAGCGGGGACTCCCGCGGCGGCAGCTGCGCGCCCACGTCCCCGCCGCCGCCGCTGCCGCCAGGGGCCGCGACGCGGGCGGGCGCGCCCCTGCTCCCGCCGCCGCCGCCTCCGGAGCTGCGCGGCGGGGCCGGCGGCGTGGCTGCGGCAGCTAAGGCCGCGGTGGCCGCGCTGAACTGCGAGCGCGCCGGCGCCGAAGCACCACGGCTGCCACGAGGCGTCCCTCCGCCAGGGCCGAACGGGCCGCCACCGCTGTGGCTGCCGCGGGGCGTCGCGCCACTTGGGCCCGTGGGGGCGCCGCCGCCACCAACCGCACGGGGCGTCCCGCCGCTGCCGCTGTGCACCTGGTGGTGTCCGTAGGGACTCGTGCCGTGGTAATCAACAGCGTAGCCCAGCCCAGAGGCGCGCCATGCATGCTGCCGGCCGGTGCCTTGCATTTGCCGGCCCTGAGCTGTCGTACCGCTCCCGCTGCGGTCGCCGCCGCAATCGCGGCCGCCGCCGCCGCCGCTTCCACCGCAGCTGCTGCGCCGCCCAGCGGACGGCTTGATGGGGATGAAGGTGTCGTCAAGACGGCAGGTAGTGCGCGACTGCACGTTTGACCAGTCAACCCGGCTGCCCACGACGGTCTTGGTGCGGCGCTTCAGGAACGCCTTGGGCTGGCGCCCCGCCTCGCCTCCCTGCTGCTCTTGTGCCTGCTGCTCGCTTGGCGCCGGGCCGGCGGCGGGCGGCGGTCCCTCGGGTGCTGGCTCCGCTTGCACCGCTGCGGGCCATGCTTGACGGCGCGGCGTGACAGAAGCTGCTGACTGCGGGCAGGGCTGCATGAGCCCTGCTGCTCGCTGCTGCTGCTGCCGCCGCCGCTGCTGCTGCTGCCGCTCCTCCTCCCCATTTTGACCTGTCTGCTCCTGCTCCTGCTCCTGCTCCTGCTCCTCCTCCTGCTCCTGCTGCTGCTGCTCCTGCTGCTGCTCCTGCTGCTGCTGTGTTGCTGCCAGGGGCTGATAGCTTGAGCGCAGCTGCTGCTGCCGCCGCAGCACATCCTGCTTCAGTTTGGCCAGTGCCAGCCCCCGCTGCACCGACCCGCCACCGCTGCTGGGCCGCATGGAGCCAGGCCCGGAGCACGGCGCGGGGCGATTACTGGCCTCAGCAGCTGCTCCACCAGGCTCCCCTTCCAATGATGGACGCAGCTGCGTGTGCACCAAGGCTGCACGCTGCCACGGCTTGCCAGGGCCTGCCTGTGCCAAGGGGACGGTGTCTGGAGCCCGGGGGCTGCCGGGAGCGGTCGTCCCGCACTGCTGCTGATGCGGGAGCGAAAAAGGGCTGGCTAGCACATGCGGCTTGGCAGCACTCCCTGCCGCCTTGGAGCTGTCACGTCCCCATGCCTCGCCCCTCTGCGCGCCCATTGGCCATGCCCCCTGCCCCATATCGCCGGTGGCGCCGTGTCCAAGCACGAGCTGCACAGACCCAGCAGCGGCGAGCGCGCCTGCGGCAGCAGCGGCTGCGGCGGAGGCGCTGCCCGTGCTGCTCGTGCGCCGCGGCTGCCGCGCCTCAGGGGCCAAGGCGCCGCGGCCACCAGAGCCAGCAACCCCGCAGCCGCCGCTGCTGTGGCCGAATCTTTGGCGCTGCTTCAAAACCGACAGCGCGGCTGAGAGACCCTTGGAACCCATGTCGCCGCCACCCGCGCTGCTGCCTGCGCAAAGCGGAGGCGCTGCTGCTTGTCCATTGCTGCTGCCGGCGCCTTCCGGCGGGACGATGTGCCCCCACGCGCTGTCTTCACCGCTGCTGCTCAGTTCCTCGCTGCCGCTGAGCTCGCAAGCCTGGACGCCGTGCCAGTGCGCAGGCTGCTGCTGCTGCTGCTGCTGCTGAAGCGGCGGCAGCAGCGCCGCTGGCTGCGAGCGGGCTGCCGCTCCCCACTCACCCCGCTGCCACTGCCACGGCTGCTCTGCAGCTTCCTCGACGTCTCCCCCGTTCAGATCTGATTCGCGCGCCTCCGCAGTTCCCCAACCAGCAGGCGCCGTGCTGCCAGACGTCGCCTCCCGCCACTGCTGCTGCCACTCGGGCTGCTCCAGCTTCATGGGCTGCATTTGCACGTCACCCATGCTGCAGGAACTGCTTGACTGCGCGGCCTCGCTTCTGTCGCTGCCGTCCCCTGCCGCGCGCTCCTCAGCGCCGCAGGACCCGCCGCCGCCGTGAGAGCCCCGGCTCTCGCGCCCGCCGCCAGGCGACGAGTACCGGCGGGCGTCGTAAGGCGCGTCGCCACGCGCCACCTCAGCGCGGCTTACGTCGGGCTGCGGCGGGGGCGGGCGCTCTGCGCTGATGCTCGCCGTGCTTGCAAAGCTCTCCACGCTGCTGAAACTGCTGCTGCTGCCGCTGGCGTCGCCGCTGCCGCCGGTACTGACCCCGCCGCGCTTGCGGTTGGGGCCGGCGGCAGGATGGCAGGCGGGGCCAGGCGAGAGGGCGGCGTCATGGAAGGTGTTGGGTGACTCACTGGCCGCGAGGTCCTCCGCCAAAGGGACCAGGCCTGGGGTCTGCCCTGCAGCATCATCGGCCTGGTCCCAATCCAGCGGCCAGCCTGCGCCTTGCCAGCCTGGCTCCCCTGCAGCAGCCGTCCCGAGAGCCTGGCGCAGCCGTGGCGGCTCCTGCCAGTCCTGCACGCCATCCGCAGCCGCCTCGCCTTGCTGCTGCCGCTTCGCGCCCTGCTCCGGCCGCAAGCGCTGCTCCGCCGCCTCGATTGCAGCGGTGACGCTCCTCAACACGGCTGCCCTTGCATCTGCTGGAGCTGCATCTCCCAAAGACCCTGTTGAAGGTGGCGTGGCTGCTTCTGCCGCCTGTTCGGTCTGCTGCTCCTCCTGTTGCTCTTGCTGCCGGGGTTGATCAAGCTGCTGCGACCCGTGCTCGTCACTGTGCGCTTTCTGCTGCTGCCTGGCTGGTTCCTGCTGCTGCTGCTGCTGCTGCTGCTGCTGCTGCTGCTGCTGTTGCGGTTGCTGCTGCTGCTGCTGCGGCTGCTGCTGCGGCTGCTGGTCTTCCAGAATATTGAGCTGCTGCTGCTTCTCCTGCTTCTGCTGTGCCTCTTGATCTACAAAAGGGAGGTCTGCAGCAACAATCGCAGTTGCCGCCGCCGTGCAGGCTGCCACCACAGTACCGGCCGCCGCGGCTGCCATCGACAGGGGAGCAGCAGCGGCGGCGCTGATTCTGGTGCGATCTGGAGGGCAGCAAGCACTGGAGGCGAGGGACGCCGCTACCGCCAGCATGGTGGGCGCATGCACCACAAAGTCGCCTCCACATGCCACAAGGTGGGGCGGCGGCGCGCCCTCCACAGCAGCAAGCGCCAAACCAAGCATTGCAGAGGACAGCAGGGTCACGGCGCGCTGCTGCTGCTGCTGCTGCTGCTGCTGCCGCTGCTGCTGGGCTACTGCGTCTAGTGCCACGTGTTCCCAGTGCGCTACCTGCTCTTGCGACTGGTTGTGCTGTTGCTGCTGTTGGTGCTCCTGCTGCTTTGGCTGCCATTCTACCCGCTCCCTGTGCCGCGGAGGCCGCTGCAGCAGCTTTGGCCCGGTCAGCGCTGCCGCGTCCACTGAAAGCTCTCCTGACAGCTGCCCGCCGGCTTCCAAAGAGGAGGACAGCCAAAAGCTGTCGCGAGGCGCCGGCCCCGCCAGCCGCCCTGTGCCAAAGCTGCTGCCCCCCGCTGCCAAGCCCTCGCAGCCATTGGTGGGTGCGCCGTCGCTGACGCGCGGCAGGATCACTGTCACCTCAGCAGCATCGCCTGGGCTTCCGCCTACCTGTGCCGCGGCCGCCGGCGCCTCTGCTGCGGCCGACGACTCGGATGCGTTGAAGTGCACCGGCAGCCCACTGCCGTCTGTGCCGCTCTCTGCAGACGCTTCTCGGCCCAAGCCCAGCGGCCCGCAAGCCATCCCAGCCTCCTCTGCCCGCGTCAAAGACGGCCCCTGGATCAGCGCGACCTCCTCCAGCAGCTGCCGCTGCAGCTGCAGCTCCTCCTCAACCACAAGCGACCCTGATGACGAGGTCGTGTCCACCAGTTCGACATCCAAAGATTCTGCCACTCCTTCCCACAGCGACAGTCCCTCGTCCAAGCCCGACGAGCTGGCGGCAGCTCGTGGCGCCGCTGGCGGCTCGGAGAGCTGCTGCGGGGCGGCGGGCGGCTCCCCCCGCACGCGCTCGGGGCCGCCATCTTGGGGGCCCCTGGCGCACCCCTCCTGCTGCCCGTCTTCTGGGATGGGTAGCGCCTCCTTGTCGCACTTGCCTGGATACGATGGACAATTTGACGCCACCACCGCCTGTCGCTCTGCCTGCTTGCATTCATGCTCCGGCGACACTAAGAATGTTTGCATCTGGTCAGCAGGCGCCCCTGCGGCAGCGTCGGGCCGGAGACTGAACGGCCAACCGAGCGCCACCGCCGCGGCAGCGGCAGCGGAATGCAGCTCGGGACACTTTTGCAGCGGGCCCGCTGCCGCAGCCACGGGCAGGGAATCAGAGCCGGCCCAGAGCGCGCTGGTGGGCTCACCTGTGTCGGCCCCTGCCGCGATCGCCGGCGCAGCTGCTGGCGGCGGCAGATCCAGGGCCACCGCTGCGCTGCCGGCGCCGGCGCCAGGGCTGACCTGGCCGCTGCTGCCCCTCAGCGGCGGCCGCCTGCCGGCCAGGCTGGCGCGCACGCCCCTGCTCGCTGTGCCGGGGCTGCCCCTTGGACTGCCGATGAGCACCATGTCGTCGCCGCAGCTGGGCATCGGGGTGAGAGGCCCGCCGCCTGCCCCTGGCTCTGATGCCGTTGAGCCGGCCGCCGCGGCTGCCGCCAATGCCCCCGCCCGCTCCGCCGACGCTCGCGCCGCCGCAGGCTCCTCAGCGCTCGCAGCAGCGGAGCGCGAGTGCAGCAGCGAGGACGCGGCCGCGCCGCTGCTGCTGTCAGGGCTCGCGCTGGTGGCCCTGCTGCACAGCCTAGCCTGCCAGCTGCTGTGCGCACTGCTGCTGCGGCCGCTGCCGCCGGCACTGACGCTCGCTGAGCCGGCGCTGCCGTTTAGCTTGAGAGCCTGCAGAAAGGATAAGACAAGGCGCGGTATGACTCATGGTGAGGTTGTGCAGAAATGCAAGCCACACAAGCACCCAAGTTTCTCAGTGGCCAGGACGATCACAATTGCACACAGGACATGCCATCATCCTGTAGGTGGTGCAGACCCCATGAACCCGCACCCGCGCTTCTGAACGCAATGCGTCATGCAGATGCCGCCTCTCACTTGCGACAGCTGCCGCAATGGGAGGTCCTCAATCCCGTCCGCCGACGCACGCCTGGCGCCTGCCGGCGACGCCAGCGACGGCCGCGGCGCCCACCCAGGTTCTGACACAGACCGCTCGCGCGCGATCGGTGGGGCGTTTGCAGCGCCTGAGGGCCCTGCAGCGGCTGCATGTTGCGCTGGACGGCAGGGCGATGCCGCCGGCGTGATGCCTGGCGGCGTGCTGGTGCATGGCTGACTGCATTGCGTCGATTCAGGCACACCAGCGCAGGGAGGGGTTTGCTCCGGCTGAAGCTGCTGCTCCTTTGGCGACTGCTGCTGCTCTCTTTGCAACGGGCTCCAGCCCGGCGATGCGATGTTGGGCGCGGCTTCCCCTGCGCCTGGGCTGCCGGTGTCGCCAGCCCAGCCTTGAGTGTGCTTGCAGGCCGGCGTGTCGCTGCACTCTCCCTCGCTGCCGTCATGCCCCGCGTCACCGCCCGCACCACCCTCGTCCTCCTCTTCCTCCTCAATGCCGTCATCTGCGCCGCCCAGCCGCACCACGGAGCGCTCGCCGTCCGCCCCGCCGCCCTCCGTGAGGACGCTGACTTCGGCACGCACGTATGCCTCTCGCCGCGCCCTCCGCTGCTGCTCGGCAACAGAGAGCACCTCCTGCTCCTGCTGCTGCTGCTGCAGCTGCTGCAGCTGCGACTGCACATCCTGCTCTTGCTCGCCCCCCTCCTGCCCTTCATCTCCGTGCTGCTCTACAAAAGCTGCCTCCTTCTGCTGCTGCTGCTGCTGCTGCTGCTGCTGCTGCTGCTGCTCCTTCCGGTGACTGTCGGCCTGCAGCAAATTCTGCTGCAATGGAGCCTCCCCACCAGCTG